TTCAAAGGGTAACCACTAAATATCCTTTCTGTCTGTCCCCCCAGCTTGCAGTGCTTTGGCATGTTTGAGAGGTCACCTTTTTTCTTTTTTAAGCTTGAGGAAGTTGAAAATAGAACACGTTGGCAAATAGCCCATAGCAGAAAGCCCTGTCACTCCTTTTTCTCCCCATACCATTTCTTGCTTATTGTTTCAGTTTAAATATCTTCTACCTTTAAAATACTTACAGAAGTTCATCTGTGGAAGAACGGTATCTTTATGGATCAGTCTTCATCCTTATGTGTTTTCATTTTCTGAGAGGGGCAGCCACCCATTTCGGACATGGATGTTTCTGAGTGGGATTGGAAGGTGGTGCTCCAGGTCCCTGTGTGTGCAAGTGGGAGCAGGTATTTGTGCGCTGGTGTTCCCCCAGGTGCTTAAGAGATATATTTATACCTTGTAAGCAAAACTCTCCTTATCGATTAATTGAACTGGCAGGGTGACTTACTGCCATGGAGGCACTAAAGGCAGGAAAGGACAAAACATCACTTTTAGATTGGCTATAATTCAGTGCTACTGCTTATGTTACAGTGTCCTGACAATGTATTTTAAAGAAATTGCTCTGAGCTTAGGTGCCAGCTAGGGAGATTAATGTGCAATCATGTCATTGCTCGTAGAAATACTGAGTAAAATAACCTGGGACCCTGAAGGCTGGACTGAGTGTGCCTGTGTTGGCTCCAGGAGGGTGATGGTCTATGCAGAGCCTATGGGTACTTATTCAGATGGTGGGGAGAGGACGTTGCTCCAAGGGAGAGGCTGGTCCTGGGTGCTGAGCAGGAGACCTATGGGGCTGTTCAGCCAGGGGCTCAGGGTATAGGTGAAGTTTGAGTCCTGGCCCCTCCTGGGGCTGTTTCTATCCAGAAAGTGCACTGGATTTTCCTCTGGGACTAATGGCTAATTAAAAAGGCTCACTGTTTCGATGGCAGCTGTGAAGGTAAAGGTGACGTTCGGCTCTGACATGATAGATGAAGAAACAGCCTTGAGAGTCCTTGAGTCTAATAGACATGATGGTGGGAGCCCTGCGTAACACAGCCATGGGAATTCTCTCCAAGTCCTCTATTAGTCATGAGAGTAGGCAGCCTTCTGCAGCCTTTTTAGCAACAATTACAACAGATATCCTAGGTGTCAAGGGGACAACAGAGGGAAAAGACTCTTTTGGAGACTTACAGAAGTTCACTGTGAAGTAAATCCCTAATGAGATCAGTCATCCCTGGGCAAGTCCAAAGCCTTCTCTAACTTTGAGCTCCATGGCGCTGTACCAAGAAAGTTTTCCCCTTCACACCAAAGCTTCCCTCCAAGCAAGGAGAAACAGGGAGAGTGACATCCTCATTAGCTGACGTGTGCTTTTCTACTTATGCCTCTGCAGTTCTGGCCGGGGGTTTCTGCTGCAGTAGCAGTATACAGAAAGAGCGTAGTGGCTAAGACAGAAATGTGCCTGCAGCTGTGCCTGTCCTTGCCTTTGTGAAATGAATTTGGAGGATTCCCGTAGGGATCATAGCATGTTGCAGTCGCAAACCCTGGCCTGAATGTTTGGATCATTATCAGTACAGACATTCGGCTCTAATAGATTGAGGAAAAACATTATTTGCACTTGCAAAGGGCTGCATGTGGAGTTAGAATGTCTAATCAGTCACCACTGCTGGTTTCTGGGGGCCAAGCATGTGGTTTGGGTTGGGTTTAGTACAAAGTGTTTGGTATGTCTATATATTTATATGTATGTTAACGACTTGTCCACTGTGAGTAACTGGCCATGACACCTCTCAGTAGAGGCGTCAAACATGGAGCTGCTGAGACATGAAAGGTAGAGGTTGAGAGTGGCAAAGGATGTCAGCTGGTGAGAGAAGGAATGAGGAAAAAAGAGGAAGACAAAGTTCTGAGCTATAGAAGGGGAAAACGGAGAACGAAATATTCCATCCACTGTGGAACAGCAGCACTTATCTCAGAGGTAGGCTTAAGAACAAGAGCGCTGGGAAGCTGTAAAGGAAGAGAAGAGATTCAGGATAGATCTGGCGGTGCTGAGGGCACCTGGTGTAGAGGAGGCTAAGAATGAGATGTTCATATTCAGCAGAGATGGTGCAAATCAGACTGAAGCTGATCTTTGATATAGATGAGAAATTCTTGGCAATGATGCTGCACATTCAGATGGGAGACAAAAAATATCAGGGAAGAAATGAGGTCGTGCTTGAGCTTCTGCATCAATTCCTAGCAGACAGCTATCCACACTGGTGCTAAATTGTTGGCTGTTTTATCACTGAGGCCATGGAATGGGTAGATACACAGGCTACAAATGTCCCTCCTGTTTAGGGGAGGGTAGTGTAGAGAAACCAGTGCAGCCTGTGCTCTGTTCTACCTAAATGGGCCATCAGCCCAGCGGCTTTCTGGAAGAAAAGGTGGCACCTTTGGCAAAAAAACGTTGTGGGATTTGTTAAATCTTCCATTGTTTTCTGTTTTATTAAACTTGTTTGAAGCTCTGCTCTTCCAGGCTCTGCAGTTTGTATGGACTTCCTAAAGCTACTGAGCAGAAATACCTGGAGAGATGCTGAGCCCCAGAGCCAACCTTTGCCACTGATTAGAAAAGGGCTGCTCCAACATCTGCCTACAGTGTTTAACCAAAACTCCTCCCAGATGGGCACTGCCGATCACATGCAGGCAAGTTTACATACACCAATGCACTGGAGTTTGGAGCACAGAATCTGCATCAAAATAAACATCCAATTTCTGTGTACTGCATAGGTATGAAAAGGTAAGTAAATAGGGGTCACAGGAATGACAATGCAATGCAAATGCTGCACTAGTATGTTTAAAAGAGAAAGGACATGTTATAAACAGAAAAAGACTGGGTGAAGCTATACTGTTTCAGCACACTTCCCTGTGATACCTTTGTGTCTGAATCAAGCCCATACTCAGATTTCCAACCATGAAAATCGTGGCTATTTAAAGAGGAGCAAATATTTTGGAGTATTAAAGATGCTTCAAATTTGTTGTGTGTTTATTGTAATGAAAAATGATGTTATTAGTTCAGCTCGTTCAAGTTGTTTATGTGGAACATTGATCTTCTGAAAAATGAGGCTCTGCAGAAACTGACTCGGGGTGTATGAAGGCAAATTATTATTTTTCAAAGAAAATGATATTTTAAGGAAAAAGAATGTATTTATTTAAAAAAGAGTCATATTCCTGTGAAAAATATCGGCAGTTTTCCAGCCAGCACACCTGACATTGCCTGCAATCTGTAAACTGGTGATTTATTTTGCCTAACTGAGGGTAAGGTGTATATTTCTGTTCTTGTTTCTGTAAAGTAAACTGGAAATCAGATTATGCCCCCTTCACTCAGCTTCCAAACAAACCTTTCCAAGGCTAGTTAGAGCTGCCAGATTCCTTTTGTACGTATGGTATATGCTCCAAAGTTGTCTCTCAGTGCAGGGAGTCTGGCCACCCTCGTCCTCTGTCTCCTGAGACTGGAAGAAGAGTAAGAGTTCAGGCTTCTCCACCAAGGGGGAAGCTTCTCAGCGCATAGCCTCATAGAGCTTAACTTGCCAATATGGAATTTATTTGGTCACCTATATATATGTTCATAAATTGCACCCCTCTTTGGAGTAAGAAATCAAAATGGAACCTTCCCTTTTTTATAACGCATTAGTTAATTAACTCTACTTAGATGCATGTAAGTGGTTGTTTCTCGGTGTAACATTGAAGCCTGTTACTCAAAATTAACACAGACTATGTACAATTGAAAAAAAAAAAGATTTTTGGATATATATTTTATTTGACAGTGGTTTAGAATATCATACAGTAAACAAGATTTCTGTAAAAGTTAATTTATCCATAGTGGTGCGTTTCATAAAAATAGTTGCTCACTTACAGCCTTTCTGTGACTATTAATACATGGAATTATATTTATAGAGATAGAGCTGTACAGGGTAAATTCACAGCTAACACTACACAGAAGTATTATTTGGAATGGGGTTTAGATGATGTGCTGTCTTCACAGGTTATCGATTACAGCCGCATAAAGCAATTACTGCACAAGGAGTAGCTGTGAACTGTGCAAATTAGAGTTTATGCAAGCATAATCTCAACTGTTTTTCAGATTTCATTGTTTGCTTTCTTTATACATAAAAATAAGATACTGGGATGTGCATCTACACTACAGAAGCATTGTCCAAAATCAGATTCAATAAATTAATGGCAAATTATATTGGATTCTAGTTCAGGGGATAAAGATTTGTTTTTTCTCCATGAAATAAGAGTTTTATAAACAGCTACACGGACTTGTGCTTTTTTAGAAATTATATTTTAAATGGAGTTTTCTTTCTAAAAGAAAAAACTTGTTTGAAAGCTGCAAAATCCTTGACTTGAGGCTTTTCAAATAATTGGACAGGAAGAAACATGCCTATAAATTTCTCAGTCCAGTGCAATGTTTGAGACATACAGTAATGTGCTAATTTCTTGGAACAAAGCCAATCTCAGCCTAATTTTTCAGCAGAGCATGTGAGGAACTAAGATTGTTAAAGAACAATTATTTTTAAATACAAAGTTTTGACGGTACTTTCTTCATTATTTTCTTCTTCTTCTTTTTTTTTTTTAATTACCAATGTATTATTGCCCAGGATTTTGTTTTAATTTTGACAGACAAATAAGCATATGCACACTTACACAGACACACACGCATCTTTTTGAAACAAGGTCATGACTGTTTGACTGAACTCGGAGTTATTTCCTGTGAAGGCAGACTGGAATGTTTACCTGGCACTTAAGGCTTGAAATTCAAAACAGACAAGCAAGAAAGTTAAAAACAAAAGACCAAAAAACCCAAAAATAAAGAACAAATGGAGGTAGGGAAGAAATGGTAAAATGGAAACCATTTGAAAAATGGAAATATATCGAATTTACTGAACGAGGACACTGACAACTGTATTTCAGAAACCAGTCTAATTATTGTTAACGTGTGCCTGAAGGGCACCTGCTCTGCCAAACTGAGGGGATGGAAGGTGAAAGTGTCCTAACTAGATGCGGATGGGTATGAAACATAGCACTGTTGATAAGTGAAGCTATCATCTTCTGCAGGAAGGAAAGGCCTTTCCTTAAGGAAACTGCAGCTTTTTCTCTGTAGCACTCTTCCTTTCATTGCAAGGGCCTTGCAGATGTCTGGGTTTTCAGCCTGACCAATTGGTTTGTCTGCTACTTCGCAGGATTTGGGGAACCTGTAATAAATCACTTTTGAGAATAATTTGCAAATACAACGCCACTCTAACTCCTTTCCAATGTACAGAAACATGGTTTGTTCACAAAAATGGCAGTAGAAATGGTATCACAGAAACTAATCCACTCCTCCCGTAGCGCCCAGTGAACTATGCTACAGGGTACCACGTGGACTATCCCAAAGCATTAACAGTGGAGAGGTGTCATGGGTGTACAGTTCTGAATGATGCTTCAAAGAAACCCTTTAACCCCTGTCTAGATATGTTGAGAACAATTTATTTACAACATTTTAGCTCCATGAAAAGATCCTCTCTCGGTTTCAGCTTGCTCCGTGCAGTTTTATTTAAGGCGATGTTCCAGTTTGTGATTGCTCTAACTTGTTCCAGTTTCTTGATATAAAGTTTGAATGAAATCCAAGTCCTTCATGCAGTGGGAAAAAAATGCTAAAGCTACACTGCACTATCCTTCTCTGATGTACTGTCCTTCATATTGTTTTGGTTTCTTCCATAGCTGCCAAAGTCCCTAAAATGGAACTGGGACTTTAGGGTCGATTTTAAATCTCTGTGTTGACTATATGCTTTTGAACTTATTAGATACTGTGCACATTGTCATGGAATTACACACTAATGTTTTCATTCCTCAATGCTTTGTGTCTATGTGTGATAGTTAAAATAAATTAAAACAAACCAATGTGAGACAAAAACTAAGAAGAATGTTCTGCGTCAGTTTGAGACAGTTAGAGGGCAACAGTCCCTTGCTTATCTGCTCATGGCAGAAGTACCAGACTTCAGGACGCTAGGTAGCTTATCTGAGCCAGGGATTTTCCATGGCCCTGGGGAGACCGTTGCCTTTCGAACTGTGGTGTTGGTGCTGCGAGTGCTAATGGAGTGGAGATGTCCCTTCCTGGGGAACTCGCTGGGTTTCCCATCAGGGTCCCTCTGGCTGTGGTCCATATCACTTCCAGGTGAGCTGCAGCGGTTGCTACTGTACGTCTTGGTAGCACCCGTATCAAGCTTGACATGGTCGGGTGCTGCAGCTGGTTTCTTCTCACTGGTATTTGCAGATTTGTGATCTTCTTTTTTGCTAAGAGATCCTCCTCTCTTGCTTTCCGGCTTCCTCAGCCTCCCAAACTGTTCATCACTGGTTCCAGCACACAAGTGCTCTCTTGCGCCAGCCTCGATCATAATGCTCTGTCCCACCACTTTGCTTTCTGAGGTGGGCCTGCCACCATCAGTGGTCTTATTTTTGCCTTCTGAATATCCTTTCCAAGATGCCTCTTCATGCTTTGACCTGTCTACCTTTTTAGGACTTGCTGACCTTTCTCTTTGTTCTCCTAACCTTTTCTTTTTGTGACCGTTCACCGAAAGCTCCTTTGGTTTCCTTACATCGTGTTCCCTCTTGATATCCCATGTTGGCTCTGGGCTTATCTGGTGAGAAGGGTCAGAGGGTGGGGCTATGTGTGATGAAGATAATGGTGAGATAATGTCATCGAGGGAAAGATGGGGAGGTGGCAGAGGGAGCACTCCAGGAGTTTGGTTCGTCTGTTGTAACAACAAAGAGAAGGGAGTTAAGGGCACATTCAGCAGCACAGGGTCTATATTGTATAGGCATATGTATCCAGAGCAACATCAACACCCAAATCACATACCAGACTTAAACCCCTCTGCTTTAGGTGAGGTGAAACACCTAGTGGAGTGAATGGGGAGAAAACCCAAAATTATCTCCCCCCGCCCTGCCCCAAAATGTTCAGGAGAAGCAAGAACCACAAGGTTCTTACTGCAAACCCTGGTCTTTTTTTCTTACAGATTCTGCTTTCCTCTGCCTACCTTAAATTATTCTTAAAATAATAAAGGCACGTGCTCCTGAAATCAAATTGCCTCTTTTGTAGCCATATAATGGATTTCTTAGCTGGGCAATATCAGTGCTGTCTCTAAGGACAAATGAGAAAGACTTTTTGCCGTCTATTAAACATGTCCCTACAAGCATATAATAATTGACAAGAATTTGTAGCTCAGATAAGGTCATCATTGAATTCTGTCTCATATTTTTTCTAAACAGATATAATATTGCAGTGTTTATGGCCCCACAATTCTTACAGGGTACTTACAAAGCTCTGCCTTTATATCACAGCAGCAGCCGCTGAGTGTCTTGGCTGTGCATTTTGAATTTCTCCTGGTTACTTAGCCTCAACACAATATGGTTGGATTGTGCAGATCCTGTTTAATTTAGCTAAATAGACATCTCCTTTGTTGAATCATGATGATTTTCCTAATCCATTGGTACAAAACAGAATATTCTGAGATGCCTTTCTCATGCATACACGATTGTCATTTCTTTTGATTAACGTCCTGGCAGACAGCGAATCCATCATAAGTAATGACAGCACAACTGTGCTTACCGTCTACATAGAGGTTAGAGAAATCACTGAACTTTGGTAATGTCATTCCCTATTTAGCACCATTGCCTGGCTCTGAAGGGTATGAGCAATAATCTGTCAGAGATGAAGGACTATCTCAGGAACCCATGGAGACTAGGTGGGGCTCGTGACAAGAGCTGCCTGTTTCACAGGGGAGAAAACGTACCCTTCTAGCTTAAAAACAAGCACGGACTTCTGTGGGTCACGACTAGTATACCTCAGCAATAGCAACTGTCCTTTAAAAGATGCATTTATTTCTCTCAGTGCTACAGCTGCTTTCAAATTATCACAAAGATGTATATCATCCCAAAAAATGGAATGGGTTTTACTGCCCAGACTGGGATCTGCAGCTTGCTTGACTGAGATGGCACTTTTAAGTTAATAGCTTGATTGAGTGATTGCTGTCTTGCAGATAAAAATAGGAGAGACAATAGTGAGGTGGGTGACGTAAAGGGGGGGAGCAGCATGGTTAGCTGAGGAGCTATTTATTTTCCCAGATGGTGTTTGTCATATGCTTTTGCATAATGAGCATATGTGTGGAGAGGATTAGCATTTGAGAGGGGTAGACTAAAGTACAAGTTCTGTGTAAGACAAATAAACTTTGAGCTGGGAATCTAAATGGGCTGAGGGTCTCAACTATGCTTTAAAAAAAAACATCACACTTTCTTACCCTCCAGTTAAGGCTGAGTAATGTACCATCTGCTCCCTGCTTGGCACTCGAGCAAGAAAAGATAAAAGGAAGGCTGATGCAAGTACAGTGATCAGCTCTTAGGAGCTTGCCTACAAAAAGCATTTGACTTTGATGGGCTTGTTCTTTACTTCTGCTCTTCAGCACCACCCTCTTGGCACAGGACCGCAGCCTGTGCCTGATGGGGGAGGAGCAGACTGGCAGCAGCACTTTCAGATCTGAAATCCAGGGGATCCCATTTTGGTCAATATATGAATCAGGGACCACGCATGGGGTCCAAGTTACTTTGCCTGGTTCTCTAAAACTATCCTGAGACTCCACCAAGCAGCATGAAGCTGCCTGTGCACACCAGTGGGGCACCTGCGCTAGTGCTAAACAAACCACCTTGGGTCTTAGAAAATGAATGTCCTTTTTATGGCATTGTCACGTCACCCCAGGGCAGAGGTGGTGCCCAGCATTGGCCTCACCAATGTATTTGTCTTAGCTACAGTCCTATTTCTCAGTTGTCCGTGGGATGGTATTTTTCACTGAGCAGCAGTGAAGAGCAGAGAGCCATTACCAGGTCTCAAGCAAGGCTCTGAAAGCATCCGAAGCTACAGAAATAGCTTGTTACTTTGGGAAGTATGAGCCGCACACCAGGAAAAACATCAAATGGCCCAGAGCAGCAAGACAGTTTCAGGTAACAAGATTGCCTCTGTGCAAAATGTGCCACTATGCTCAGATCAGCTGATGCTTGTCTAGGAAGACAAGCCACCATTCAAAACCAGGACGGCAAACACCTCTTGTGGCTCCTCCAAGGCATGAAGGGCAATATTACATCAGCTATTTGTGGGATGCTCAGCAAGGAGACCCAGATGTGAGTGGCCTGCTGTCCGAGTCCCTAGAAACAAGAACTGATTTATTAATGGACTGTTACCCCTGCACAATTTTAAGGTTTTTCCCCATTTTGTTTTCTGGAGGGGAGGGCAAACCCACTGAATATTGCAGAGAGAAACTGTAGTGGGTTAAAACCTACTTCAGCAAAAGTGAATCGATGTTACATGTAATGATATATAAATATGGTTATCTATAAATTGGAATATGCAATACTACACGCATTATAGTATTGGATTATATGGATTTCTGCCTCTGCCCCAGTAAACCTGCAGAAAAAGACAACTTGTCCAACTAAGCATGAAGACTTGTAGCCACAGCATAAAGGGAACCCCAGATGGGCCACGGGCAGCATTCTGTGTAAAATACAGTGCCTGGCCTTGCTGGGAAGGCACCCATATGGGCTGCATTTCCAGCGGCTGGGGAAAAGCTGCCAATATCATTCATATTCTGTGACAGTACAGTACTTGCAACTAAGAACTTGACAAAATGACTTTCTATAAGGTTTAAGTACCATCAATCTGAGACAGCCAAAATCCAGCCTAACCTGCTTTTCCTTTCAAAATGAAATGAAACCGTGCAGAACTTCATCCTCAGCCTTGGTAGATGTCAATGTCAACAGTCATTGTTGCAATATGTCACTGGCTAGTGAAGAGAATACTGATGTGAGGGTACGGTAACTGACTTTCCTCTAATGCTTGAACATTATGGGAAAATATAAAAATTACTAGAATAGAGCAAAGTGCATTAATGTAAGTAATTTGTTGCTCAAAAGAAAAACCTTTTAAAGAGCTGTGTTCAAGCCATAAGGGTTCATTTGGCTTTGTTCAACCAGCACTAAAATGATTGCTTTTCCATAACAAATATAAACAGGAGAAAGATGAAAAATTTTATCCCTTAGAGCAACTAAACTAATGATTTCTCTTTATGCCTATTCTGAGGTTATAGCTGCATTTTGGAGACATTAATATTTCGGAATATATTTTCTATAGTTTTTAAGCTTTATATAAAATCTATGTGTTAATTGTGAATATATAATTTACTTTTACTGTCTGTTATCTCAAAATGTTTTGCTAATATCCTAAACCAGAGAGAGAGCAATGATTTTACTTCTTTCTCCCTTCACCTCTGGGAGGAACAGGAGGCAGTATTCATGTAACAGAGCATGAACTACTAATGCCCAAAAAACTTACAAGCAGAAGTGAAGAATATCACACTCAGTTGAAACTGCTGGAAAGATTTAGGGGCAATGTAGTTTTAAATTTGTTTCTGACTTTGTCACTATGGATATCATCCTTCCTGTGGGAGAAATTGCTCTTCAGAGGTATACATCTCACTGAAGGCTAATAGATGCCTTCCTCCCTTCTTTGAAGGGAGAAAGTCTCCCTTGACCTCCTAATTTAAACAAGATAAATGAGCTGCGAGCAGCACTATAATCTGTCACTGTGATGGCATTTGATTTTGTGTAATTTAGTAGGTGTTTTCTGGGTGGCTTTTAGCTTCCACAAGCTACTGTCATGCAGGTTGGTGGCACTTCTCCATGGGATGTGTAAGAATGACTCACCTATGACCTGTTTCGCATAACTCCCAGGCAAGGAGTAAATTGCTAACTGAGTAAGAGACACCACACACATGAGATCTTGAGTGTGTGGGAGGATAAGTGGGAGATGAACACAGCCATTCTGGAGGTAGTGTGACAAGGGGAGAACATCAGGAGAAGAACTTTTCTGCCTAATGTTTTTTTTGTTTGAGGTAGAACTGCCATATACATGAGTTGTTTTCTTTGCTATGTCAACTTACACATGTTCAATGGAGTGGAAATGAGGGTACTGCTCTCATGTGTCTGCTAGCTCCTCTCTCAACTAAAGCTTAGTGTTCTACCTGCACCCAGTGCTGCTGATGGCTTACGTCTGAACCACTAGCAAAAGAAACCTGGTTTCACTGTTAATGGTCAAGAGAGGTCTGTCTCTTAGTTTGTGAGCATTGCCTAGGTACTAAGTCAGAAGAAGGAGCTCAGCCTAGTGATATGTTCATTTAATTTCCTGCAATACTTCTGTTTTCTTTACAGGTTGCCCTTCTAAGATTTTGTCAAGTCTAGTCTTGCTGTGCTCATCTGCTCCTCCAAGATCTCAGGTCAAGGGAGGTTAGGCCTCAGATTTGTGACTAGGTTCTCCTTTTGTATCAAAAGATTTCAAATAATTGCTTGGTACTTTATCAAGAATGTGGGATTTTTCACCAGATAAAATTAACCATAAACTACTATTTTATTGAATATTTAATAGTACCTTAAGAGTAAAAATGACATAACATTTTATTACTTAAGTACAATAAAATATCAATGCCTTTTTAATTTCAAAATCATGTGAATAATGAACAATATATTAAAGCTTTGAACGCTTCCAGTAGTCTGAAACTTTTCCCGAAATGTCTAAGCAGCTGCTTTTGTATCTTCCTAGAATGATTTTCCTAGGGAATCAAAGAGGTTTTGATTGAATACAAAATATGGTGCTCTATTTTCTTTTTTCCTGCTTTTTGTCTGAAATTATGTACTGCCAGAAGGTGGC